GCCGCCTGGTACCTCTACTTCTCAAGCAAGAGTGACGGCGACTGGGTAACACCAACGTTAACTCATAGTCACTCCCTCAAACTTGGTATGGAACCTAAAAGGTTTGAGTAGACCGCCTGTTTTTTGGCAAACAGGGGCACTCAAACCAGTCGCCCTCCTCAGTACGGAACCTAAAAGGTATGAGGAGTCCGCCTGTTTTTTGGTAAACAGAGGTACTCGACCACTATTCTTACTAGGTTGGCTATACTTAAAGCTGCCGTCTGTAACCCAACAGGCGTAGCTACTTTGGTTGGACGTCCTGTCTGACGCCTGCTTCTATGCAGCCACCAAAGCAGACGACCAGCCATCCCCCAACGAAATAAACTAAGTACCAAACTTAGTATATTGAATCAAAAGAGGCCAATGGCCGAATAATGCTAAACGCTTACCCCTTATGCAATAGTTGACAGTCCACCTGATCAGGGGCTATCTGCATAGTGGGGCAAAGAATCGGCATCTGTCTAATTCGGCGGCAATCATTATTATGATTGATTAACTTTAAAAATGTCATACCGCCCAAGGTATCAAAATTTTCTAAGTTAATCAAGTCCATCTCCCATTAGAACTAGACAAGATGCCGACCTAGCAAAGCTTCGAGGGTCTAACTTTCGAAAGGAGCAATCCCTCCTGGAAAGAGAAATAACTCCTTCCGAGGGGCAAATGTTTAGGGTAAAAATTACTCATGACAAATGGACCAATCCGGACCTGCCACGTGTCCACCACGTGGGCCAATCAGCGTCCGCCACTTGTCACCCTAAGAGGTCCAACATGGACTAATCAGGCCACGCCACGTGGCCTCCCATATGCCAAATAGGCAAAAATGGCCACTAAGGCCCAAAGTCCGAGAGAAGCCCAATTTGCCCCGGTTAACCTAAACCTAGGATTGGCACGCTTCTCAAGACTATAAATACTTAATTAATCCTCATTAAAGGGGATGCAGCAATTGATAACTCTCACCTAGAGAAGTCTAAACACATTGATCACTCCTCCCCTAGAGGAACCAGATCTCCCACCTTTACTTTCCGCATCTATTACTCCTCAAACAAGTACTAACTTGATCGTTGGAGGCGGAGCTCCCACCACAAGAAGTCTCCGTTGTTTTGCAGGTACAGGCGTCCGGTTCCAGTCTCGGAATTGTAACTCTCCCGCAGGACATCAGAAAACCCCAAAACAGTATGTACTTATGAAAATTCACCTTAACAAAATATTCCATTAGATTTCTATGAAATGATGCCAACTTTCCTTTTTCTTAAAATAAGTACAGATAAATAGATAATGTACTCCTACCTTTTTTTTTTTTTTTTTTTTTGAGGCATATACTCCTACCTTGTTTTGGGTGATAAATTTAAGGCACTTTTCCAAATGATCCCTTTTTAACCTTTTTTTTTTTGTTTGTTTAAAAAAAATAATAACATCCCATCTTTTTTAGCATAATACAAGTAGTACTATACCCTTTTTTTTTTCCTCTCAGATGTCTCCGAAGAGACACTTATATCAAAAAAAAAAAAAAAAAACATCATATCTTTTTTAGCATAATACAAGTAGTACTTAACATTTTTTTTTTTTTTTCCTTAGATTTTTTTTTTCTTAGATGTCTCCGAAGAGACATTTATGACTTCATCAATTACTTTATTTGATTGCAATTTTTATTTTATTTTATTTTTTTACATTTTTTTTACTAATATTTAGAATAAGTGTAACTAGATTAAGTCCAGCGTCATACACGGTAATTTCAATATTATTATCAATTTGATACTAATTTAATTATTGTAAAAAAAGCTGTCTTAAAATAGGGTGAACTAAACTATGCATTATTAGTTAAATATGTACTTTAAAAGTTATGCATTTTATCATATGATTAATTTTATGTATTTCAATGTGATACCTTTATAATGTTATTTTTCTTGTTAATTAAATTAAAATTTTAAAGATGTGTATCTAACCCCACTAATAAATTTCTTTTAATACACGCTATTAAAATCACTCTTTTATTTATTCAAAACCATGCGATCTAAAATATTTCCATATCTTACCAATGTATTGTTTTTTTAATTCAACATTTTCTCTTGTTATGAACTCTAATTAAATATCAATTTTATTAATTTTTTTTTTTGGGGAACCAACATCAATTCATTAATCAAAAGCCATACGACATCTACAAATGAAATCTAAATCAACAAATACATAAAATTGAATCAAATAAGGGTTTCCTTTATCAAAGCTACGGTCGTTGAATAGATCTTGCACTATGGTACATCTCTCGCACACATCGCTGGAATATACAGCCTTTTCGGAGAGACGGTCTAATGATTTTTTGTAGCTTTAAGGATAATTTTCATCTGATTCACTTGAACGCCTTTGAAGATTTGACAACCTTTGCAATCTTAGACAACTCTTTACCAACAAATTGATAATAGGGAAAAATATGATAGAGTTGATTTAGAATCGATCTCATCCTAGCCTTGAGATGGTGCGTGGTCATTTTATAATGTTTAATTTCTTTGTTTGTTCGTCTGGTGATGATTGAAGATATAGGGTTCATAATTTCCGAAAGTATTTAGAAGACCACATGAGTATTTCCACCAAAATAATTGCGCATTAGTGGATTTCAAGCCGAATTAGTAACGGCTAAATCACATATCGTATTGCTTCTGATGAAGTTTTTTATTAAGGCAATTGTTGATCGAATTTGCGATGCAATTAGTTCTAAGGTACTATGTACTATACTTGTGTTGGAATTTTAGATTTCTTAAGAATTTTGTAAGTGCAGTTTGGCTATATTTTATTGATGATTTTTTTTTCTTCTGTTAAAAACTATATTACCAATACATAATTTAAATATAGACACGTAGTATTTAATTAGAATTCATAACATGATAAAAGTTGAATAATGAAATAATACAGTCATCTGATACATATGGAATAATATTTTAAGTTGCATGATTTCTTTTAATACAATATAAGAGTGATTCAATAGTGTATAAAGGAAATATATTCGTGGGGTTAGATACATAGCTTTAAAATTTCTATTTAATCAGCAAGAAAAATAACAATACAAACATTGCCACATTGAAATACATAAAAATAATCATAAGATCAAATGCATAAATTTTAAGCGCCCATAAAAGCTAATTAAAAGCTAATGCCTAACACGCCCACCACTACATTTTCAAACCACTAAAAGGTTTTCAAAAGCTACTATTAAATACACCCTTAGCTAATCGGATTTTCATGAGTAGGTTTCATTTTTTATTTTATTTTTATTGAAAGATGAGTAGCTTTCATTTTAATAAATATTTGGTAGTTTTGTCACATTATTTTTAGACATTTTTTTGCACTAATTAAAATAGTATTAAATTGATATTAATATTGAAAATTACCGTGTGCGGCACAGGAACCTAACCTAGTACATGAAAAATGTCAAAATTGACGCATTTAGAAAAAATACAGAGAGAGTATTTCGTATCTATGTATCTATAGTAATATATAAAGAGAAGACAGATTTTTGGGGATAAATTTCACTATTCCAAATTACCTCTTCTCAAATTTTTATTTTTTTATTTAAAAAACTACAATCTAGCCAATTTTTTAGCATAACTAGTCGTTAGAGCACGCACTACACGCGTGCCCCCCCGATGGTAAGATATGTAAATTTCGTGGTAGTGTTTGGGTTTTGTAATATTCGTGGTTGCGTTCAGGTTTTATAATAGCAAGGATACATGAATTTGTAAGTAATAACAAGGAGTAGTAATAAATTTTCCATGGGGAAATATCTATGAAAAAAGCAATTATTAAAAGTGAGGTTATCTAGAATTGGTTAGAATCTAAAGATTTGAAATAAGTACCATTGTTTTAGATATTATTTTAAAACGCTATACGGTTTCTTATTATCTAAATAATTTTCGAATAGTTTTGTTTTAAAATGATTGTGATAATAAGTAGTAGTAATAGATCAATGTGTTGAGTGTTATAAAATATGCTGCTTTAAAGTAGAAGATGAAGAATTTAGTTGAATGAAAAGACTCTTCACAAAATACATAAGTTTGCATGCTATTTAACTCTTATTTCATTGAAAAACATTTCTTTACGTAACTCTGTTTTAGCATTCATTGTTAAGCACTAAAACCTATGTAAGTTGTATATTACAACTATTTCTCTCATTCTTGATTTTAATTTAGCCATGGAAGATAGTATGAAGGGTGTTCTTCTAACATCAAGGTTAGTCGCAAAGAAAGGGCAATGATTAAGTATAACATTCATCTTGATTGGTTGAATTAGTAACTTGATCGATCCTGCTGGCTAACAAAAGCTAATGAATGATGCTCGAAGTATTAGTAAGGGATTACAAGAAGCTGCTACTAAGGAAGAAAAGAAAAGAATCAAGGAAGAGCGAGATGAGTTAAGTTGATTTAGAATGAAGTGACACTATAAACACTCTCTCTCTCTCTCTCTCTTCCCTTGACCTTTTCTCTTTGTTCCCTCATTTTAATGTTTTATTTTCTAATGGCTTTGAAAATTATACGCCGCATTTGCTTCCCTCTTACTCATTCCTTCTATTATTGGCTGAAACTCTTTCTCTCACTCTCTTTTTTTCTTTCCTAATCCTTCTTGTCCTTGTTCCATCTTTAAAAAGGCTTTGATAATTATAGGTTGCACTTGCTCTCTCCCCCCCGACCTCTTTATCTTTCCCAGTTTTCTTCATCCCTCTCTTTCTTTTGGCCTCTTCCTCTCTTTTTCTCTCCTAGCCCCCAAGGCCCCTTTATCTCTTATCGATTTATTACTTCCTCTTTTAACCTCTCTCTCTCTCTCTCTCTCTAGACCTCCTCTCTCTTGTCCTCCCTTTCGCTCTCCCTCTCTCTCTCCTGGCTCGCTCTGTCTCTTTTTCAGCCCATCTTCTCTCTCTCTCTCTTCCCTTGGCCTTGTCTCCTTGTTCTGTCTCACTCATTCCTTCTTTTAGCCAAAACTCTTTCTCTTCACTCTCTCTTTCTTTTGTAATCCCTCTTGTCCTTGTTCTATCTTTTAAAAGGCTTTGGAGACTATATATTGCACTTGCTCTCATTCTCTCCTCGGCCTCTTTATTTTTCTTAGCTTTTCTTTATCTCTCTCTTTCTTTCGGCCCCCATCTTTTTTTTTCTCTTCCATCCCCCCTCTCTCTCTAGACCCGTTTATCTATTTTTGCTCTATTGCTTCCTCTTTTGACCCATCTCTCCCTCTCTTGGTCGTTTTTCTCTTTTCTCCTAACTCCTCTCTCATGACCCTTCTTTCTTTCACTCTCTCCTAGACCTCCTCTCTCTAGTCCTCCCTTTCGCTCTCTCTTTCAGCCCACTCTGTCTCTTTTTCGACCCACGTTCTATCTCTCGACCCTTCTTTTCTTTGATTCCTTCCCCCTTTTTCTCCCTCTATCAAGATGGAAACATACTATTGAATTGTATATTGTTTTCTTTTGAACATACTAATTTATCAAAATTTATACATATAATCAAGGTGTTAGGGTCATTATTGAATTGTATGTTGTTTTCTTTAGAACATTTAACTTAAAGACGACAACATTAAATATTTAAAACAAAATATTATGGAGAGGAAGACTTGAGCTCTTAGAGCTTTAAAGCTAAATTGTGTTTTCAAAGAAATATACTCTATTACTTGTTTATAGTGTGCTTACAAGAAAAGTCTATGAATTTAAGTTGGAGTCAAATATTGAGACAAAAATCAGCCTTAATTTTAAATAGTTTTGCAATGATAAACAAATATTAGATTATTATACAATAAGCCTACAAAAGGTACTAATGCCAATTAAAAGTGCCCTTGATAAGAATTGTGAAGGGACACGTTGAATAGAACTCCGGTGAAAAACTTCTTGGTTGTTATAATCCTAATACAAATAAAAAAATATCATTCAAGAAACATGATATAACCATACTATATATGTTAGGTTGATCACATCTAGTCATAAAATTAGCTAAACTGATTATATCAAATAACTAATCACATCAATCTTATTAATTTGATCATGTTATTTGATAGATGAAAGAGCATTTGAAATTTGATTAATAAGGTTAGTAGTTTTTGTAATTAGAACATCCCTAAAATGTTAATCTTAAAGCATACTATAAAATCAAGGTATTCCAAAAATATTTAGGCAAAAATCTAGTAAACAACTGAAAATCCTAAATAGATAATAAATAATTATTGTTAAAGAGTAAAATAATTGTGGCCTCAGCCAACCAAAAAAAAAAAAACAATTATGGCCTCACAATTAATTTTATACGTAGTAGGGAAAATTCAGTCAAGACAAATCCATCACTGTTCATCCATATTGCCAAATTTAGTGGGTAAAGTTCTTCAAATGATAGTATTAATGAATCATTAACTACCCGATCAACCTTTACCAAATACACATTATAATCAAAGTATATGCATGGTGGTCAACTTAGACCGGGATTACTTTTACCATTTGTATTATTAATTACTCAAGTTTCCAAGGGATACCATTTGTAACACAAATTCATAATCACATTTCCCATTTTCTTTTACAGGCCATATCTAGACCCCTCCAAAGATGTTTCTAACATGATGATAGCCAAACACAGTTGTTTGCTAAGCTTAGGTCACTTTAGATCCCCCAAAACAACACAAAACCCTAATTAGTAACAATAATCCACACATTCTAAATAATACTAACGATTAATTAAACTAAAATTTGGATAAAGTTGTTTAATAAACCAACCTTGAACGCTTGGGCGATTTCAAGAACAAGATGATGGAAGGGGAGTTTGCTGGTTAAAAGCTCGGTGCTCTTCTGATACTTGCGAATTTCACTAATCATTGAAGATAAATTCAAACAATTAGCTCAATTTTAAAATTAATATAATCTTTTACTAAACAATTATTGGAGTCCATTTTTTAAAAAATGAAAATTTATTGAAGAGGAACAGTTCCAAGACGGAAACGCAGGGGTGCTTGCCTCCTCGGTAGTTAGAGCTGATTTCTAGCACCCTTCATTAAGAAAATAATCCTTTAGACATTAAACGATCTTAATAAAAAAACAAATAAATAAATCCCTAACTTTAAAATGCATAGAAATAAAATCCCTATATTTTACCAAATTGAATCAAAAACACCCTCAAATTTATGAATTAATTGAAATAATTCGATAAAAATTCCATTTAAAAAATGAATAGAATTGAATCGAGAAAACCCCTAAATTTCAAACAAACTGAACTAAATCAGAAACCCCCAAACTTTTAATCAAATTGAATTGAAAAATTCCAATTTAAAGATGAACTGAATAAAGGAAATTATGGGAATGAAGAGATACCTTAGTAGTAAGTTGCTAAGTAAGAGCCATTTGAAATCAAATTCAATCGAAAAAATGTAGGAAAAGCCCAGATATAAACAAAAACATCCATATAAAAGGTAAAATCTAATCGAAGAGATGAACATTGAACCAATTAGAACAAGAAAGAGAAAAGAGAGAGAATTATACTTGGAGGAGGGCACAGCTTGATAAGATAGGTCCTATAGTTCAAAATATTTCATGCACAAATTTTAGGGGATTAATGCAGCTACAATGAGCTCTGCCAGAGCCCACCCCGTTGGAGTAAATGTGGGGGTTCTATGGCATTCTCATCCTGCAATCAATCACAAAAGAACAATTTAACAACTTGTGGATACTTTTGGCTAAAAAGATGTAACCCTGAATATAAGTACAGTAAGGGAAGATAAAATATTCTAATGACTCGATTCAAAATATTTATAGAAGTGTTGGCAAACAGATCATACTATATAAGATGATAAAGAAGTAGGTAAGTTTTCTTAAAGATTCACCTAGCACACTTTCATACATAGAATATTCTCTCAGTTGAAGCTGGAAAGCTCATCAAATATGCCGCTTGGCCCATGTAAGCTAACAGAAGGCAAGAGAACACAACAAAAGTCAATGTTATCTAGTTCACTGTTTAACTACATAAAATCTTAAATAAGGCTCATTAAGGCATTGTGGATGGGGGGGAGGGGGCTTAGTTGGAGAATATGGGCACGAGCAGTCCCACAATATGCAAGAAAGTTTTTTTTTGCAAATAATTATTCTACTTTAGCATGATTAACAGGCTTGAGACTTAATGGTCTGAACTTAGGACCGTAAAAGTTCCTGACTTGGAATCAGAATTCCTTTGCAATCCACGTTGTGTAGCCTGTATCAAAGCACATCATATACACCACAAAGAACAAGGAAATGAGATTGCCTGATAGGTAATTCTATACATAATTAACATGATCTTGTTGGTGAGTGAATACAATAGTATTATTGCAGAATAAGAGAGAAAGAAACATCTAAGACAGCAAACAAAGGATGTAATCCATCACCACCAAGTACCAGGAATGCCACCAGCACAAACGACGCCTCTAGTTTATAAATGCCACACAGCAGCTCCATGGAGGATGGTCTTTAGTATCAATCCTCGTATACCTTCCTGTCACCAACCCTTTAATTATTTTTAATCAATAATCTTGTTTCAATTATAGCAAATAAACTTAAATTAGCATCATTCCAACACCCTAGCTAGTGGACCTACAAACATTATCTTTATCGCATTATACTACTACTTTCACAAAATTGGAGAAAACCCATAACAACTAAATTTTACACTATAACATACACTAATAATCACCCTAAAAACAATATTACAACAATTCAGAACTAAAATCGCATGCACACTTTTGCAGCATCAACCATAAATCTTATCATATAGTTACAAGTTATATCAGAGAGCCCAATTAACAATAATTTCTGTAACATTCAAAACCATAGTTTATAAAACTAAATTCCAATAATTAAGTAAGCCACACTGATCCACTCAAAACTACCCAATTATGACATTAATAACATCAAAACCAGAAATTAACAACTTAATAATCAAAATACAATAAAATCAACAGATACCCAGATCATAAATTATATTCACTAATCATAAATTAGTAGAATTATGCACCAAAAAAAAAAAAAGATCTAGGGAAATGGGCCGTACCTGATTGAATCTAGGTTGGAAAAAACTGATATAAAAATTGATTCACATAATAATTCTCGGCACAATTCTTCGGCAATAGAATCAACAACCTCCCGCTCACAAAAATTTCCACTTCTATACTGATCAATCCAAAAAAAAGGATGAAAGCCACGACAATCAATGAATCAGCCGATATACTTTGCAGAAATTGAACATCAAAAATTGAAAAATTCAGAGAAATTGAAGGAGATAAAATACCTTACAAGTTATGAGTTTCATCAAATTGATTCCAGAAACTTCGCCACCACCATTACCTTCGCCGCCGTTCATCGCATCTTCTCTCCTCTTTTTCCCTTTCTTAGGTCAAAATCAAAAGGGCGAAAATCCTTAGAGAGTTTCATCATCACTCCTTCATCAAGAAATAGTTTGATTTTTCAATCGAATTTGAGAAAGCTAATTAAGAAGCTTAAAACATAGCATAAGAAAAGGATTATTGAACTTCATATGAAAATTAAAGCTATACCCTAGATTGTCAAATTGATATTCGATTGAAGCTCAGAGACGGCGGGCCGAAACTGGAGGAATCGAAACGCTGAGAAGAATCGAAGCCCCATAACCCTCGTCGAAGGGATGATCGGTGGTTGTTGAAGGTGTCGAATGAAGACATCTTTTCTCTCTCTAGGTTTTTCTAAAAAAGAGAGAGAGAGTGAAGGAAGTCGATGAAGAGGAGAGTTAAGGAATGAGGAATGAGAAACAGCAGCCATGCATCAACCCACCTTAGACCACTATCAATGGGGAGGTACAAATTTGCTCATGGGTATTTTGGATGGGCATAAAATTTGCTCATGCATTACAATTACAATGGTGAGCAAATGAGAAAAAGCCAAAAAATACTCATGAGCATTTCTGAAAATGCCCAAAACTTGAGCATTTTTTTTAAGATGAATAGTGCTTTGGTGGGCCTCACAATTTGCAATGGTTATATTTTTTGTAATGCAAATTCTGAAATAAATATTTATTAAAAAAAAATTAAAATTACCAACGGTCATAAAATTTAATTCTCTATAAATAGACATGCATTTTGGTATATTTTGATATAATTTCAGAAATACCATAAATCCTCCATATTCTTTATTTTAACGATAAAAACGACACAAATAAAAAAAAAATAAGTTACACAAATTTAGACTAGTTTTTATTTATTTGGATTAATATTGTTAAAATATAAATGAAATTAATAAATAAAGAAGTGTTGTGTAGGAGAGAGAAAGTAATTGTGGGGTATTGAAAAAGTAAGAAAGAGAGAGTAGTGGGCAAGCATTTTTTTTGCTCACCATTGGGAGAGAAATTGTGAAAAAAATTTGCCCATGGGCAAAACAGATTTGTTGAAAGAGAAAGTGGGTAGACATTTTTTTTTGCTCACCATTGAGAGTGGTCAAAGAAACAATTGTAGAACATCTATAGTCTCCTTTACACCTGGCACACAAAATTCTATCAAACCCCTAAAAAGGGCAATTTCGAAAATCCATTAATTTCGGGGGTGGTGATGTAATAACGCCAGAAGTTACTGTTACTAAGAACAGTAATTTCTTTCCCATTTTTATAATAGTTAAAGATAAAGATTAAAGATAATATTTTCCTAACTTTGAATTAATCGATCATACATGGGTAGAATACCACGTTTAACAAACTGCTCTAACTCCTCTAACTTCTCCAATTATATTGTTCTTCAATCACCAATCAGTGCGTCTTGTGTGCAGCTGGCCACACCATGTGGCCGCTTGTAAAAGAACAAAGTAACCCCTATAACACTGACTTGGTAACCCCTGTAATACTGACAAATTAAATCCTAAGCAACCCCTATAAAACTGACGAAGTAACCCCTATAAAACTAAACAAGTAACCCTTATAACACTAACGAAATAACACTCATGATAGATGGCCACACTGTGTGGCCAGTTACATATAAGACTTTGTGATCACCAACATGGCAACATCCAACTCTCTTTTAGATTTTTGTTGTTCTTTAATCATCAAGGTTAATTTGAATTTTGTTTTTTTTTTTTTTTTTTTTTATGCTTGGATTTGAAGTTATGAGCCATGTTTAATCAATATAAAATAAAATAAATTAAAAAACCACATTTACCTTGATGATTGAAGAACAACAAATTATTATATGCAATTTTGTTGGCCTATTAGCAAGAAACTTGCATTTTTTTGTGACAAATAGTTAGCACTCAAATGTGGGTACCAATATACAATTGAATTTCCTATAAAAATAGTTATAATTATTACGAGTATATAAAAATATATGGAGGAAAATGTGTACAAAAATAATATTCTAATTTAAGATATATTTAAACATTGCCATTAACAAAAAAACGTTAGAAATGACAAACGTAATCCTCTTTTAGAAACGGAGGGATTGTTTTTAAAAAATCTACTCCCTCCGTGTTTCAATAAGTGTTACACTTACTAAATGTGGCCGTGTTCTAATAAGTGTTAAACTATATTCACACTTTGTAAACTAAAGAAATTAGCGAATAGAGAGTGAACGGAGAGCGAAAGAACTTTCCACTGAGGAAGCCGATGTTTTACGTCGGTCAAATTGGAAATTCAAGCGCTCTCTAGAGAATTATCCGGGAGAAAACAACAACACATCACAACATCATGTTGAAGATGTAGAAATGAATGAGACTGAAGATGTTATTCCTAAAGGAAAACCTAACCAAGGTTCAAAATTGTCCCATAGTCATATGGCTAGTGGTGGAAATGGAAGCCTTCGGGTAACCATTCTTCTACTATAGATCTGGAAGACTTCGATTCGGATGATGATATTCCTTTGGAGTATGAATCGGATGATGAAGCGTGCCCTAATTTCCTTCTTACGAAGGAGGAAAAAAAGAGGTTGCGTCAGCCTTGGAAAAATGCCCTAATTATCAAAAATTTTGATAAAAAGATGGGATTATGAAGTTCTTACTAAGAGGCTTCGATTGAAATGGAGTTTGAAGGGAGATATCTCATTGATGGATGTCGGTTATGCTTACTATATTGTAAGGTTCACAAGTATGGAAGCCTATAACTATGTGCTTACGCAAGGACCATGAATTATTGGTGATAGCTACTTGATTATCTGGAAATGGGGGCCTAATTTTGTAGCTGATGAAGCCCCTATAAAATTCCTTATGAAATAGGTGAGGATACCCCAATTGTCAGTTGAATACTTCGATAAGCAATTTCTTCATCGAATTGGTTCGAAAATTGGTAGAGTCATTAGTATTGATAGGAATTCGGCGGCAATGAGTAGAGGACAATATGTCATATTTAGCATAGAGGTGGACCTCTCAAAACCTCTCTTATCGAAATTTAGACTTAATGGAAGGTTTTGGCGCATACAATATGAAGGCCTGAAACAAATTTGTTTCAAGTGTGGGAAGCCTGGACATATAGAGAGTGATTGCTCTCTTGAGATTGTGATGGATGAAAATGGTGACAAAAGGTTGTAGAAGATAGTCAGTCCACAGCAGCCTGTAATGCCAAGGGTGAGACCTGAAGAAATTGACCAATTTGGGTCTTGGATGCTTGTTCAAAGAAATTCAAGAAAATACATCCCTAAGACTAAAGGGGAAGGCTAAAAAAAACAGACTAAGGGATTAAATTCGAGCACTGGTCAAGGTCAACCCAAGGTGCAAGAGACTACTCAAAAGAAGGCTAGTAACTTAAGGGATGGTCAACAAACTACTAACCATGGCAAAAGACCTATGGGTTCAAGGTTTGGTGTTTTAGACGAAGACAAAGATATGAAAATCACTGAGGAATTTATGGGAAATAATCCCACGGCAGCAATTAGTGGGGCTGAAGTCACAAACTCGACTTCTTGGAGTGGCAATATTTTGAATGGAGCTTAGGAGAAGATATTTTAGTTGGGGAAAAAGATAATTCTTTAGGAAAATCTCAGAATGAGATGGAAGTTGATTTGGAAGTACAATCACATGTGGATTTGGCAGAATCCTTAAAAGGAGATACGATAATGATACAAAATCAAAGCAAGTCTAGCCATATCAAAAGTTACCAAAATATTCCCCTATTTTATATGGGAAATCGGATTTTCCTAAAAATAAGGAGAATATTGATCCTAAGTTGAATGTGATAGAAGGAGAATATTTGTCAAATATCTCTGCCAAATTTAAAACTCTTTCTCCAAGCAACTCCCAGAATATTCAACCTGACTTCTCTGTAGCCTCGCACACCCCTTCTGCTTTGCGGTGTAGACAAAGCGACAATGAATAATCTACGAGTGCCGATTACTTTGGTGACCTCCAAATCCCCCCATCGTACACAGCATTCATGGATTATCCGATGGACGGACCAACTCAGGTCATAGTCCATCTCCTAGCGAACATAGCACTACTCCAAGTGAGTACATTTTTTCCATCGGAACATAAACCCCCGGATATGTTGTTCGAAGTGACAATCTCAATGAGGACCGACGGCCCAATGAAAGCGTTGAGGGACGCATTCTTGAGCATTCTGCCTAGCATTCCTTTAAATGCCTATGATTGTTATTCTAATATGTTTAATATGTCGATCAAGGTTATGGTATGGAACGTTCAAGGAGTAGGGAACAAATTAGCAGCAATTCGTAAGCTAATTAGAATCATTGACCCCAACTATTTTGGCTTTGGTGGAGACGCACATAAGTGGTGATCAAGCCCAAAAGATTTGTGATCGAATTGGCTTCTCGGGTCAAACGAGAGTTGATGCTCAAGGTTTTAGTGGTGGTATGTGGCTTTTTTTAGAGAGAAGAGATTGTGAATGTGACTATATTAGATAACCATTCTCAACACATCAATATCGAAGTGCATAGAAGAGGTGAAGAACCTTAGATGTTTTCCGCAATTTATGCTAGCCCGGAAACTACAATTAGGAAGGATTTATGGGAGACACTTGAGAACATAAAGAGAAATTTTCAATGGTCCTTGGCTCTTGGTTGGGGACTTTAATGACACCTTAAGTCTTTCGGAGAGAGTAGGTAATAGTGGCAGTGAGATGTAACGTAGGTGTCGTGAATTTTCGAATTACGTGAATGTGAATGGCTTGATCGATCTTAATTGCTCTGGGCCGAACTTTACATGGAGTAGAAGGTTAACTCCCTCCACGTATAAAGCAGCTCGTTTAGACACAGGACTTGCCAATGAAGAATGGAGAATGAGGTTCGAGGAAGGTGCAGTCTGCAATTTAATAAAGATCACTTCGGTTCATTGCCCGATTTTAATCAACACAAATGGCTTTGCACCCCTCCACATGGCTATGAAGCCTTTCATATTCCATGCAGCATTGATTAAGCATGAAGCCATCAATGAGTATGTCAAATCTAACTGGAAGAATAATGAGCCTCTAATTCCTTTCTTGAAAGTTTTTGTGGATAGGTTGAATGTGTGGAACAAGGAACACTTTCATAATTTATTCAGGAAAAAAGCTGAACTTTGGGCGAGACAAGAAGGCATTCAGTGTGCGATGGCAAATGGTGCTCCACTTCATCTTTTAAAATTGGAGGTTGATTTGAAAAAGAAGATGGTAGAAATTCTTGAGCAAGAAGAGTTACTCTAGTTTCAGAAATCAAGAACTGAAGCTACTGTTGATGGGGATAGGGATATGCACTATTTTCACCTATCCACAATTATGCGAAAAAGAAAGAATCGCATCGAGACTTTGCAAGATGCTGCTGGTGACTGGATAGCCGAACCTGACA